AGTACCTAGATTTCAATTATTCTCTACAGGAGTAGAGAATTGAAGAAAATCTCTATGATTGTAGAGAATAATTAGTTCTGCAGAAAACTTCATTAAAACCAAGCCACACAAAAACACTACAGATTTCTGAGTCTGACTTGCATCCTGCAATATACCTTCTCCTGGAATCAGTGAAGAGGATTCAGAGGTTCTTCATGTCATGTCATATGCCACAAACAACAGCCTTCCCCAGGCATCATGGTGAAACACAGAGCAGGGCAGAAGCCACCACCAACCCAGAGAAAAATAAATAAATGTTAGGCTTGCTTGCTCATGGGGCACTGTGACCCTGCTGGATGAGATCTGCACTCTCTGCCTTGGGAAGGGATGAGTTTGCCATTTCTTTGGGCTCAGTTCCACCAAAGGACAAAACTATGACAGGGCTTGGACAGCATTCATTTTTGCAAATGCAGTCAGTCTATTTGTCCATGAGAGCCCCAAATTGGTGGGAAGTATCTGCGGAGTCAGTGAACAGAACGACATCCTTAACATTTGACTGAGCATGAAGGTTGGCTGTCTAGAGATTCTCCTTCTAAGAGGTTTTGGATGGATGCAAATATTACAAAAGGAATAAGAAGAAGCCCAACTTGAATGCCTAGTTCTGGGCCAAGTAGATCTCATTCTTCACGTGAAGAGGGGAGTTCTGGGCCATCTCTCTGCCATGGTGGGGTTAGCGTGCACATTTTATTTCTTTAACATGCACGATGTTGATCAAGGATGCATCTGACACAAAAACAGAACCAGCGTCCTAATATTTAAGATACCCAGGCTTGAATCCTGACATTTCAGAGGAAAAGGTCAGCTTCTGCTCTTTTATCTCTCTCATTTGGTAATAACCTTGAATTGAGCCCTCTAACTCTTGCAGAGCAGAGATACCCTCGGGCACTTTCAGGTCAAAGATGACTTTGAAAAGTGCAGAGCATTCAAAGTTAAAGCCAAGGTTAAGTGTGTGTAAAGCAGTGAGACCGGGTTTGAATGATGGGCAGCCGGAGGAATTAGATCCCTTTTGCCACGTCGGGTTAGGAAGTTGTCTTGCTCGCCGATCTGTCTTTACTCATCAAGTGTCACTGGGACGTTGGCTTTGAATTCAGTCCTCCTAATGACCATCCTGTGCTGCTGTCTGGTGTCACTCATGGCAACACACCCCAGCTTCCACCCCTGACGGTGCTATTCCTTGACTGGTCTTCTTGGTTATCTTGAACCTTACCGGAGGGACACACTGCCACGTCAGGGAGGTATTCAAAATAGTCGCAGCTAGACTCCCTGCTTGCATGAATATCTGAGTCTCTCTATTCTTCTCAGGGCTTAGGCCAGCTGGCACAGAGCAAAGTCTTGCCAAAAGACGGGTCGTACTACCAGTTGTCAAGCCTTGATCAAAGTCTACTGGTTTTAGAGCCACTCTTTGGGAAAGTCAAAATTTTCAAGCCAGCTTGACAAGATGTGAAACTGACAAGCTGATAGATACACTGAGTATCTATCAATTCAGAAAATGCAGCACACATTCAGAAATTCTGAGAGCAATTCTGTTCATCACAAACTGCATCTGTGTCCACTTTAAGATGTATACAAGATTTAGGGGGGAGGTTTTGTCCACAAAAATTATCAGGCACCTACAGATTCCTGGACTCTGCACTAACTCTGAGGCCTCCTTGGTTTACAACCACCATTCTGAAGAAATGGAATTTTAATACTACAAAAATTTATTCTCCTGGCCAAACATCAGTGGAGGAAAATCCATTCTGATGATCTGATAGTTTAGCAGTGTGAATCGTGGTCAAAGGCATCTGGAGATGTTCTGATTGACTCCCCGCACTCCATTTGGGAGAATTCAGCGTGGTTTTGACACAGGAAAAACGGATGTGGGACGTGAGGAGGGCTGTGTCCCAGGTCTCGATGGAGCCCCTCGGATGTGCCCGCCAAGTGTGTGTCCTTGGCTTCGTGCAGGAAAAAATTCAAGAGCGAGCCACTGTTGAGTAAAGGTGGATTTATTTAGAGAGATACGTACTGCATAGAGTGTAGGCTGTCTCAGAAGGCAAAAGGCCATGAGGTGTGGGTGTTGGGTGCTCAGGTTAAAATAAAAGTAGGTACACACTCCCTAGGCAGAGTGCAGGCCGTCTCTGAAGAGGAGGGAGCGAGGGGCGGCCACGAGGCTTGTGTTGCCAGGTTTTATGGGCTCAGTAGTTCCATATGCTAATATATGGAAGGACCATTCTAACTATCCTGGGGAAGGGGCTGGGATTCCTAGGAATTTGGCCACTGCCTACTCTTTGGCCTTTTATGGTCAGCCTTGGAGCTGTCATGGCTTCTGTGGGCATGTTATTCACTATGCTAATATGTTACAATGGGCGTATAATGAAGCTCAAGGTCTACTAGATGTCAAATCTCCCACCATCTTGAGCCTCAGGGCCAACTGGATGGGGCTGAATCTTCTGCCATTCTGCTGTTAATCGCTGTGTCATTTCTTGAATGGCTGTCCATGCCCCCTTCTTTCCTGTCTCAGCTTCCGCTTTCAGGTCATAGTTACTCTAAGAAATTACATTTTAATCCCAGTCAAGCAACCAGGTGTCTTCCAAGTCACTGGGACACGAGATGTCGTCTCTCCTTTTGTTGCTATGCTTCACCCTTGTCCCTTCACTTGGGCAGGGGCTACAAACAGGGCGATGGCAGAGTAACACCCTCACAAAGATCTTTGTGCCTTTCTCCTTTGTCTCTTTTGTTCAGTGTGGCCATGGGGATTTCAAACCAGAACCAAAACACAGCAAAAAAAAAAAAACCAAAAAACAAAAACAACCTCTTTTCTCAAACTGCCTAAAACCAAGCAGTGTGCATATCAATGTCTGTAACCATTAATAATTCAGCCATGAGCTTTGCAGCTCTGCAGGCCTAACGGTTCCTGCAGGTGCCTCCCACTTTATTTTTAATTTGTGGCTGTTCGTGACTCTTCCTTACAATCTGGGTTGCCGTTCTTTCACCATTCCCATCACGTTTTTTACTTCCTCCTCTTTTTTTTTTTAAATGGTTTGTACTGCAAGCTCTGCCCCTATCTTTTTTTTATTATTATTATTATTATTATTATTATTATTATTATTATTATTATTAAAGTGTAGTCAGTTTACAATGTTGTGTCAATTTCTGGTGTACAGCATAATTTTTCAGTCATACATGAGTATACATATATTCATTTTCATGTTCTTTTTCACCATGAGCTACTACAAGATCTTGAATATACTTCCCTGGGCTTTACAGTATAATCTTGTTTATCTATTCTACATATGCCTGTCAGTATCTACAAATCTCGAACTCCCCGTCTGTCCCGTCCCACCACCCTCCTCCCCTCTGGCAACCATAAGTCTGTATTCTATATCTGTGAGTCTGTTTCTGCTTTATATTTAAGTTCATTTGTCTTTTTTTTTTGATTCCATATATGAGTGATATCATATGGCATTTTTCTTTGGTTTTCTGGCTTACTTCACTTAGAATGACATTCTCTAGGGACATCCATGTTGCTGCAAATGGCATTATGTTGTCATTTTTAATGATTGAATAGTATTCCGTTGTGTAAATATACCATAACTTCTTTATCCAGTCATCTGTTGATGGACATTTAGGTTGTTTCCATGCCTTGGCTATTGTAAATAGTGCTGCTAGGAACACTGGGGTGCAGGAGTCTTTTTGAATTAGGGTTCCTTCTGGATATATGCCCAGGAGTGGGATTGCTGGGTCATATGGTAAGTCTATTTTTAGTCTTTTGAGGTTATAGCCTTCTCTTTTGGAGCCTTTGTTTCAGTGTTTGGCATTAAATCATCCAGGTCATCTTAGATTTCCTGGATTTTGGGTTGGTTTGTTCTTTTTGTTCTTGAAGAAGGAACATTCCTTGGTCAAAAAAATTATGCAGCCACAATATCCAAGGAGGAAACCAGAGGTCTTTTTAAAACACCAGTTAGCGTGTGAATGAATGGATTTCTTATATTATCTGGGGCATCAGTTCTGGATGTTTTACTGGAAGGGATGTTGGTTCTGGCCCCAGCTACTTTTTTCTTGACCACGTCAAGGATCACAAAAGAGCATGTGCTTCCTTTACGTTTGCATTCTTGATGATCTTATGAATGCAATGGATGGATTTCCACCAAATGGGTCACAAGTTCTTACTTCTGAATAAAAAGCTTAATTTAACCCAGTATTTGAAAGTAAGTGTGTCTGGGTTTCAGGTGAAAGAGGTGGTTATCATGGACCCAGACCACTGCTACAAGGCACTGCATCCTAGAATTGTCTTCAGAAACAGCTGCTCATGGAGCACTGGCTTCAGATTTTACCAGACCCATGTCAATGTCACAGCCTTTCTTTTGTTATCAAAATTCGGGCCTTCAGGGCATCAGTATGATCCACCGATGTCTCTATTGTCACCAAAACCAGGTCACATGACTTTCAGGACATGCAAAAGAAGCATAAGATCACCGTTTTAGTAACAGAATAGAGATGTCTTCCCCTGCAATGTGAATGCCAGATTCCTCCTACCGTGATGTCATGTTAGTGACGGCATTTTTCGGATGAGACAGGGGCCTCTATTTCAGCATTCAAATCATGAAGGCGACCCTCGGAAAACTGGGACGCTGCTTTTCTTAGCCTCCGTGCCCCCTCTTTGAACTAACCTTTACTTTCATGTTTTACGCAGTTTCCATTGAACGCCTTTCACAGTTTTTCAGAGACATATTATTTGATCTGAGAATGTCTAAAAAAGGGTGGTACATGCTTGCCCAAGCGCATGCCCTAAAGCATCCGGATTTTATCCTCAACGCTGGAGTTTACCGAGATGCCTGACATGGATTCGAGCCATTGTTGAACACGGCTGAGCATCGGTGTTGAGTAAACAAATCCCTCTTATGTCTGCGAATGAGTCGTGTCTGTTTAAATTGAAAATGTGCCAGCTGTGTTTACATCATTAGTACCCAACTTCCCAATTAAACTGTTGATACTATAAATATAGCACACAAGTGCCTCGGAAATGGGGCTGACATCAGCGATCTTCATACGGCTTGTTTCACTGGCTTTGAGAAACATCCACCCTTTGGCAACTGCCAAAGAGGCAAACATTTGAGACCATTTCAGGGCATGTGGTGTCACTGTGCCATTTAAGGGAATGACACATGCTGAGATTACTTTTTGATTGGTTCTATCGCAACCAGATCTTATTTTAAAGGAAGTGTTTTTGTGTTGCCTGCTTCAAGAATGTTCCGTGGATGACATTTGCTTCACGGTGGTAGAGGAAGTCCTTTTCAAGCTTCTCTATCCATAAATTTGTGTGCTTCCAGGGACTTAAGCCTGAAATAAATATGCTAGCATTTGTGATAGGACTGAATATTCTAAGGAGGTTATATCAAAATTATTGCTTCTGAGGCATTCACAAAGCTGGATTTTTTGTTTGTTTGTTTGTTTGTTTGTTTCTTTTTACTATGAAATTCACTTCACCTTTCAATGGCAAATTCTGCATTTCCCAGATCTGAAAAGTTTTCTTCTATGTTTAACGATTTTCTCTAGCCAAATCTAGGGCACTGAGAGTGCACTCTGGAAAAATATTCTCTTGACCAAATGAATATGTAAGTGTCCACAAATTACAGGGCGAGTTACTGCATGTTTCTTGGTGTTTCCATAGGACATGCTAGCAGTGTAGGTCTTCCATCTCCTCTCCTGGTCAAGCCTTCCTCTCTAGATTTCTTTCAATCCTTTTACTTCTCTGTGAATTAGAGAAGTGCTTCCACTCAACAAGAAAAATTCAAGCCTGTAATCCACTGGCCGAGTGCATATCCTGAGAGATGGGCACGTTTCTCTTGCATGGCATGACGTAAGATCTGGGTTTCTTTTTCTCATTGTAAGAGCCGCTTTCATTCCAAGGTTATGAGCTCTTTCTATTCCACTAGACTATGCATATTTTTTTTCTGTCTTCCCAAGGAATGTAGATTTATTTGTATATTCCAGATGATCTCCTCTGTATGTTCCCCCTCACCAAAAAATTTTTTTTTTAATCTTAGAAAGACCTCCTTGACACTCTGGGCTTCCCAGTGTTCTATGAGTGAAGCATACTGGTCAGGCAAGCTGCCCCCCAATTCTCAGGGTTCTAATTGTTGGGTACTTTTCTTGCCTCCCTCCCAATCACTCTCTCCTCTGCTACACAGAGGCGGCATAAGGCTTTCTACCCAGAGGAGAGAGACAGAATGCAGAACCTCCCAGGGTAATAAAAGATGCCATAAAAATCCAGCCTGCAAAAAAGCAGATGGAACAATAGGAAAGCTCAAAATAGGGAAACAAGAGGATGGAAATATTACTTTATGTTGTCTGTTTATTCTATTTATTTTCATCGCTGAAGGGAGCATTTGCTCTCACTCTGCATCAGGGTTAAATTTCTGTCTGATTTTCCCCAGGGTCGTGTCACAGACCTTTACGCCACCCTCTCCCACTTGCATTCATGTAGAACAGACCACACTCAGAAGATGCCTGCTCGACACGACTTTGTGTGATCTAGAAAAACTGAAAGGATTCCCACATCAGGAAAAAGGATTTTCCATTATCAGATTCTTCTGGTTCGGGATCCAGTTTCCCATTTTTTAAGTGTCAACCACGGACTGCTTGATGTGTATTAGTTACCAGGACAACTAGTGTAGGGAGTTACTAGTTATAGTAAGTGAAAAAATACAAGACATCATAATTGAATTTGAATTTCAAGTGACAAATATTTTATTAAGGACAAATATGTCCCAAATATAGTGTGGGATATATGTACCCAGAAAACTCTGAAATTTAAATTGAACCAGGCATCTGTATTTTATCTGGCTCCCCAAGGTCTTTGTAACCTGAAACTTTGTTTCTAGATGTGAATATGTTGCATTTCTTCCACTTTTTAGAAAGCCCGTTCATGTTCGTTGTCTAAAATCTCTTTGTTTGTTTAACAATATGGAGAATCGTCTTGAGAGAGGTGCCTTTCAGCCTGAGGACAGATCAGAACTATGCTGCTGTCTTGATGGTGATGGGTGCCTGTGTAATGGATTTTCCTTTTATCTGTATCCGTTTCCTTTTATCTGTTTACTTCTTCTTATACGGCTTGGCTGTTCTTAGCTAAGGTCCAGAATTCTCAACATCATATTCTAGTTGGATATCTTACTATCAAAACCTCACTTCTCCAAAGATGTTTCTCCCAGTGGCTAGTGACATAGCCTAGGAGGGACCATGTACATACTGGTCATTTTTAAGCTTTGCTGCTCAGTGCCTGGGAAAGCTGGAAAGCCATCACTCCAACATAAAGGGAAATAGAATTAACCTCGTGCTTATGTATTTGGTACCAGGTCCCTACTATGATATCTCATTCGATACCACAATACGGAAATGATACCTGTGGTTGTATTTCTCTCAGTTCAAGCACCTCATTTATGAAAGAACAACGTAAAATGTACAACCTTGATATTAAAAGAGAAAAAAATTCTGACTTGGGGAACTATTACCCATGTGCATGATATGATTTACTCCATTTCTCTTCTTGCTTATAAAATATTTCTATTTCTTTGCAGCAATTTGGTAAAATCTTAGATGTTGAAATTATTTTTAATGAGCGAGGCTCCAAGGTAAGCGACTTAATTCACTTTAGAATTGTTTAGCTTATTTTAAAATGCTTGTTGTAAATACGGGGAAACAACTGCACTGTTTTAATCAGCACATTATGAAAATACACTTCAGTGGGAATTCCTTTAGGGACCACCTCCCGTTTTCCAAAATGGTGGGGAATGCATTGCATTCAGTTTAAAATGTATGAGGGGATAATTTAAAACTGCCGCTTTATGTATTTATGTATCTATAGATGTCAATATATCAAGTTTCCAGAGGAAAATTACCCATGCTTAAAAAAATAATGTTGCTACATTTTTGTTTTTCAGTGATAATTATGTTCTTTATATTAAAAAGTGAGTTGATAGTCTCATGAGCAGGTGAATATGTGATTATTCTGTATTAATAAAGTGCAGTTATTTTCCTGGGTTGTAGAGGCGAAAAATCTCATATGCACCAACCTTTTGAAAATAATTTGAATCATTAGTACATATACCAATCCACACTTTGCCATTTGCCGTTGCCTTGGGTTAGTTTTTAAGTAGATTTTCCTTGAGCTAATAATGTTAGTAAAAATCAGGGGTTATACAGTGAAACTCTGAATCTTCCAAATGGAAATGTGTTGGGAGGAAAAAAAAAAAAAAGCCAAACTCTTCCAGAACATCCCCAGTATCAGTGATTATTGAACAGCCCAGACCAGTAGCGTCAGCATCACCTGGGAACTTATCAGAAATGCAGATTCTTAAGGTCCCAGACCTATTGAATCAGATCCTCTGAAACTGGAGCCCAGTCATCCACGTTTTAACAAACCTTCCAGGACTGTCATTAAAGCTATAGACACTGTGTCTTCCTGTACACACGCCGACGCTTCATTTAAATGCAAACTACCCCTTTGCCCACTGATGTTACACAGTTGCCAAAGTGTCCTTGTTCCTGTACCCACAGAAAGCTCAAGAGAGCTGTCAGAATCTCCCTCGAGGAAAGCAGTGCATTTGGCATAGCAGTGGATACTGTGATAACAGAGAACGATGCTGGAAAAGGACACGGGTGTCGACCTTGAGAACTAGAAAGTGAACGGTTGCAGTAACTCCACCTTGTTTCTGGTCTGCCACTCCCCAGGCTGTCAGGAAGGTTCAGCAGCCTTCCTGCATCCCCAGACTGTGAAAGCGGAGATTGAGAGACGTTGCTTACCAAACGCAGAGAGATACTGAGTTTAGTCCCAGCGCTCTACTTAACGTAGGCAATTTCGGACAAGCCAGTATCCCGGAGGGTTACAGAGAACAGATTTCTCTAAGGTGGCAAGAGTCAGTCTCCTGGGTGTAGCAGCCACCTCCTCCCTACAAAGCAAACATTATTCCTTGGGCAGTCTGCACCTTCTCCTTCCTACACAGGCTTCGTATTAACCGAATAGGATGCTGCTGATTGAATTGAGGAAAGAAAATTCTAGTATTCTCTTTTCCCACAGCCAAAATGATGTTGTGATATGCCAGATGAGTTTAAAAAAAAAATCAATCCATTACACTCTCTGGTTCTGTTACTTCAGGGATCTTGTCGCTCTTCTGTTATTTGAGATATTTTACGGTTGTTCTTGTAATACGTCAGTAGTTTGACCTCCAGGCTGGGAAAAAATAAGTTAACTCTTTTTCTGCTCTTCTATGAAAATCATTTCAAGGACTATTTCTATATGTGTAAAGCCAAGTTGCATGAAGAGGAAAAAATGAACTGTGCCTGATTCCTTTCACTCTGGATTGATGTGTTCTCGGCAAAAATGATAGAAGATGACCCAGGGTGTCAGCCAACTTCCTTCTAATCCTGAGTCCATGGCACTACTGCCTTTACAGTTTTTCATTTTTAATTTACATTTCATTTATATTTTGTTTTTGTAACTTTTACCCGTTGGAGGAGACTATCTGGTTTTTTTCAAGAGCAGTTTCAGGACCTTAGAAGAACATCGTTTGCTATTTTGAAAGTACAATGGTGGCGATATTTTTAAGACTTCTTCCGTCATTCCCACGGTTAGGCTGCCTCTGGGGCTTTAGGAATAAGACTGTTTAAGTTTGCGGCATCCAGAGACTGACTTTGTGAAGCTGTGAAGCTGCCTTTTTTTTTTTTCATTAGGAAACGTCAAAAATAGCCTCTCTCGGTCAGTTTGCTCCCTCAGAAAGGACCAGTGCAGGTGTGGGACCTGGCCGTGTAGGTTATACTGGAGTGTGAACAAGACAGTCCAGTTGGGAACTGCTAAATGAAGCCAGTGGCTCACACAGGAATATCTTTCGGATTTGGCATCACCCTTTACCATAGAAGGCTTTATTTAGAGGAGCGTTTCCATTTTAATGGCTGAGAGATCTGAACTGTTGTCATGACCTCATTTTCATCATTTGGTGCTGGAGAGGCAGCCGGGAAATGGGTGAGCCCTTATGAGCTAGGAGCTCATCTTCTTCCACCCGTTTTCTTTGGGGACCATCCCCGAGACAGTCACTCAGTGCTTCCTGAGGATGGCTGTGTGTTCTGTGGGTGTCTGGTGTGTGGATGTGTGTGTGTGTGTGTATGTGTATGCATACACATCTATACATACCCAGACAGGACTCGTATTATCCTGGGGATGCAAGCAGTTCATGTATATATGAATAGCAAGTAAACAAGGAGATCATATTTAAAAATCACGTCTAAAAAAGATATGCCAAGGATGTTTACAGCAGCAGCAAACACACATGCACACTCAGGTGTGGTGGCCAGAATGTCTTGCGACATTGCAAATGCCCAGGAATGACAGGGGCAGAGTCACCTGGGCCAAGCTTCTCTGCTCTACAGCAATGCAACGCCACTAGCCCTCAAAGATTTCCTGTAGACCAAGTCCTAAGGGGAACGAGCATCTGCAGGTTAAAAGCCTTTTCACAAACACCACAAGGAAAGAATCTACCATCAGAGCCAGCAGAAACAACAAAACTCCGTAGCCATTTCACATACTGAAATAATCAGAGAGAGGATACAAAATAACTATGGTTTGTATGTCTGAGGAAATAAAAGAGATCCTTAAAAATATGGGTGCGGGGAGATAGGCTAGACTTTGAAAATGAAATGAGGTAGCATTTGGGGGTGAGAGATCTGATCATTCATTTCTCCTTTTAGGAGATTTTAAAACATTTTGTCTACCTCTGAATTGTTTTATTTAGGGGATGCAGTCAGATACAGCTACTTTTTAATATACCTGGGAAAGGTACCACCTGCTCTTTGATGCAGTGATGTCTGTAGTGTTAATTGCACTCCAGGTACAAGATGGGTGAATCAGCTGTGAGTGAGACACAAGTGCTTCCTGTCTTCACAGACTTTCCTGAGTAGCCGGGACAGAGAGACCATTAAGAGGAACAAGGGCAATCAAGTTTGCCATGTTCTCTGGCGAATGAGAGGCTGCTGAGATTCCAAGCAGGCAGACGAGTCTTGCTGGAAGGTGGGAGGGCTTCAGGGAACAAGGGGCATTTATAGTGCAAGTGAAAGATGAGTAAGAATTTCTCAGGGGAGGGAAGATGGTCTTCCGGAGAGAAGGAGCTTTATGTGCAAAGGTGATTAGGAAGAAGTGAGGTGCGAAGTGCTTAGTCCCCCAGGAAAATGAGCCTTCGGACCCTTATCAGCAGCTCCCTTCTTACAGATGATAGGTGTTCTCAACACCAGAAACTAGAGGCATCAGATTTTTACATAAGAGGAAAAATCAGTGCACACATCCATTTTGGGTGATTTAGAGTATTTGAGCAGTAAAATGTTGTATTTGTAATAAGACAAAAAGGGAAGATGTCACCTAAACATATACCACAAGAACAAACAAGAAAAATCCCTGGGGTACAGAAAGGTCAGAATTTATGATTCACAAAAAGATTTTAAAATAAGCAAGTCACAGCTGGTCCACGTTAGGGTCACCATTAACTGCACAGGGGTCCTGCCTTCCCGTCATAGGGTGCAAACGTCCCAGATTCCCCTCTCCTGCAGCCTTGTGCTTCCTCTCAGCTCCACCCTTCTGTGGAGGTACATTTGGGGAAGCCAGTGTCTCTCCTCCAGCAGTCAGAAAGCATCTGACGCTCAACCTTGCCTCCCCTGACCTACAGCAGCCCCTCTTGCATGCTTGACCTTTCCAGGGTTACACATCAGCTTTGCACTCAGTCTCTGAGCTCTCCGGGGCAAGTCTGGAAGGTGCTTCTCTCGTTCCCCTTTTTAAGGCTGAGATTTGAAAAATCCAGAATATTTGTAAGAACCGCCAGTTGCATCTTGCGTAAGATAGAATTCTGACCACGAGGAGGGTCGAAAGAAACAACCTGCTTTCAAAGTTGCCTAGCTCCTGTGCTTGGTGAAGAGCGGACCCGGAAAATGGCCAGGTGACGGTCTCTCTGATTATAGGGTAACTCCCCCGATGAGAATCTGGCCATCTTCTGACCCAAGGACATCATAGCACTTCTCATCTGGGTGGGAGGGAGGATGGTCCAGTGAAAAAGTTAGGAAAATCCCTTTGGTATCGGGGGACTGTTTCTGGAGCAAGCCCTTCTGGAACCCAACTTTGCCAAATCTCAACTAAGCATCTCAGCAGCTTGAAATGAGAAGTATTGAGCTGCTCAAAAAAAAAAAAGAGAGAGAGAGAGAGAGAGAAGTTCAATAGAAAATAATGGGAGTAAGCATAATAATAAAAAAATCCATATATTATTTTTACTTCAAATCCAAGTGAGAATGTGAGAATAGAGTGGAATTCCTTTTTAGTTTATGCACTTGGGATTCAGAACACATTTCTATCCCCACCTTCATCGCTCCCTGACATACCTAATGCCAATTTTAGGCCAGTGTGGCTGGCCCAGAATCTCAATGACTCAGTTCACGGGGATCGTGGTAGACAGCTGGGTGGAACGTTCGGTGCCACCTGCTGCGCTCTTCCCAGCACAGGAAACAGTGACTGCTGGTCACTCATCAGCGGGAGAGGTGCCACCGAGCCCTCCATGGGCAAGACTCACACTGCGGATTTTCTCTCCTCGCCTAGTGGGAGGATTGGCCCTGATACAGCCAGAGTCCCCCCTCCGGACTCTGTGTGTGTGACGTGGCTGAGGATGCTAGCGTGTGAGGCTAAGAGGGCAGGGAGATAACATTTATCGTGTGGGACTTTGGCCGTATGCTTACATCTAAGATAGCCAAGTCAGACAGATTTTCACCTCAAAGACTCACTCCACTCCCTAAGTTGGCAATAAAATATTCTGCTTCGTTCAAAGAACTGAACCCTTCTCTTGAGGCTGCTGATGCTATGAGAGGCCACAGAAACCCAACTGCTGGACCACAAGGCTAACTTTTCTGGCCAACAGATATCTGGGCTCCATTCTGGGATTCTGATCCAATAGATATGGTCAGGGCTCAGGAACCTGAACTTTTAATATGTTCCCCAGGTCCTTTAGGTGTACCCTCAAGTTTGGGACCCAGTGGCCAAGAACCAGAGCCATCAAATAGCTCAAACCCTCCAAATTCTATCTTTTGCCATTGAAGACTTATTATTTCCAAACTAATCAGCACATACATTTGAGAACCAAGTGTGGGCATCCCGCCAGTGATGGACAAGGCTAAGTAGGATCCTTCTGTTAGGCAGCGTATAATCTTACGTTAATCAAATAATTCAGACCTGTCCTCATCACAGATCCTCACCGTGGGAGAGAGGAAAGGTAATGCCATCTAAACCCCCAAGTGAAGAATTAATTTTTTTTGTCCCTGTACCAGATAACCAGCTAGTCTACCTTGAATACACCCACAGCAGGCGTCCTCTGCCGATGAGCCCACCTTAATATTGGAAAGTTCTCTCTTAGGTAGAACATGGGCTGATAGCTCCCTGAAGACCCTGAATTTTGGAGATCCCTTTAGCGACCTAGTGAGGGATTGAGAGTGAACACGAGTTGATTATGACTATCTGTGATTTGTAATTACTGTCTATTTTATTAGCAAGAGTGACTGTCATCCTACCCCAGTTAAGCTTAAAGCCAGCATTTTCCTTTATGTAAAGTTTACCCAACTCAAAGAGGAGTCTGGACACATTGCATTGTTTCACCCAGTTTACACTGTGAGCACCAGAATGAGCTGGGTAAATTTACACTGGAATTGTTTCAAACGGTTGGTGTATATTTCTGAACAAAATGTACAAACATTTTTAGGGGTTTTAAAAATAATGTGTCATTTTCTGTACTCTTCTTAGGAACAGTGTCAGTGAAGAAAAAGGATGGATTTTTGACAATGTGACGTTTGGGGGGGTTGTTTTTTGAGGCTGAAATAGCAAAACAAAATATGCCAGTGGTGCAGTAAAGGGTGTATTTGCTATTGATCAATAAAAGAAGTACCCAGAGTGTTATAAGTAATATTCAATTAGAGAAACTTCTGTTTTCTACCTGTTGACTTGGTGAATGAATACGAGCCTAATGTCTTAGAACTTTACCACATGTCGACACATTTCCCGTTTTGGTTAATAAAGTCGTCGGGAAAGTTGACAAATTCAAAGGCATGTACGTTACGTGGAGGGTGAGGGAGGGGAAATATTAATGCAAAACCGTGATTTGAACTGTTAACGTTATTAATCAGTTGATGTTTATTTCTATTCATTTCATGTGATTATTTCCTTTATTAGATCAAGGAGTTTAAGATTTATTATAAAAAAAGGTCTTTCCTTTTTTTTAGGCTTCTGATTTTTTTTTTATTTTTGAGAAGTAAAGGCTGTAGAATTGACCAATTTGAATAACCCTAAAACTGCATGGAGGAGAGATGATCTTAAAACCACACGGCATGACTCTGTAGGCGATGTTAGAAGATTTTGGCATTCATTGTTGAATTTCGTGCACACCTTTTTCTTTTCTTTTCTTCTTAATTTGCATGTCAAGAAAGTGGTTCCCTTTTTTTTTCCCTCGTTATTTCATTTTCTTCTCTGTGAAGACACTAAATTTATTTTGATCTCATTTTCTTTCCGTTAGATTTATTTTCTTCTGTAGTGACATTTAGAAAGATATTTTTGGTGTCATTTTTTTTTGTTGTTTTTAATTCTTCAGGGGTTACAGCTAACGGGTGACAGAAAAAAAAAAGACCTTGTTCACATTTGTCGCTTACTTATTGCACATTTTAGTATTCTTATAATTTCTCTAATTTGCATGTTACAGAACTGAAGCCAGGACAAGAAATAGAAATTAAAGCAAGAGAACGTTACACAGTGGTCGTTGACTGAAAATAATAATCTGCATGTTGTTTTCCCTTCTCCCTCCTGCATGCAGGGATTTGGTTTCGTAACTTTCGAAAATAGTGCCGATGCGGACAGGGCGAGGGAGAAATTACACGGCACCGTGGTAGAGGGCCGTAAAATCGAGGTGCATGTCCAAAATATTTTCCTTTTCATCTTTTTTATAAGTGTCTGCTTCACGCTCATTGTTGTTCCAGATGCATCATTGTGTCTTGTATGTGACCCTACTCCCTTTTCATTGTTTATATATATATATATATATATTTATATATAAAAAGGAAAACTGGCCTTACTTTTTTTTCTAATTTTACTTTATGATGTTACTCTTATGACTGCTGAAAGGTGGATGGTAAAAGTGAGACAAAAGAAAAAGTTTAATCTGAAAGGTTTTTTTTTTAATTATGATTTTATTTTCCATGTCTTATAAACAATGGGTGCAGTAGGTTCCAAACAGTGGCGAGAGTGTGGCAAAATAAAACAAAATACAGAGCAGTTTCTTCCATTTTTTTTTTTTCATTTTCTTTTTCTTTCCACTGCAGGGTTGACGAGGGATCCACAGTGGTGTGCAAATTAAGCCAAATTGTGAAAGAAATAGCATTCGAAAAGAATGATTGCTTAAAAAAAAAAAATGAAAGGGTTTGTCTTGAAACCTTTCCTTTTTTTTTCTTTCTTTCTTTTAAAGAAGCCAGTTTGAATCTTTGCATTCTTTTGATGACAAAGTGAATAACCAAACAGGATTTCCTGTTCAATATCTGGCCCCTCTGCATGGGAAAAAAAAAAAAAAAACCACTAAAATTCCAATACTCAGAATCTGTTCTTTGTACCACTGGATCTCCCTCAAAATGACCACAGGGTCGTATTTGTTGAAACTTAAAAAAAAAAAAAAAAAAAAAAACCAGTTACAAATGCTTTAGTCTTTGGAGTAAGATGTTGCATATTTTGCCTTTCATTTCCCCCCCTTCGACGATAACCCTTAGGCCCCTCACCAAACTCTCAGTAACCATGGTAACTGTACACAAACCCATGCTGGCGATGGTGGTGAATGGTAAGTGGTGAGCTCCATCCGCCGTTTCACGTATTTAGTGCTGATATCTCTATATACATATATATACCACGTGAATTTTTTTGACTTGTTGTATTAAGTTTTCTTGATGCTCTATTTTTTTGGATAATGGTACGCCTGTAACTGAGTGTACGTTCTAAGCTAGCCTGGGAGGCACTGACTGGATTGAGAGATGACCAGCGCACATCTTACTCAGATCGTTAACTCCATATTGTGTTAAACAATGCACCCTCTCTTTTACCCTTTTGTTAGCTGTGACTTTAAAGCTTGAATGATCTTGTTAATTCTTGCGATGTAAAAGGCTCTTGTTCCAAGTGTTGAATGCTAGATGTTGCTTCCCAGATGGTTTTCCCCTCTTAAAGTGTTGCATACGGCTAAAACTTGTTTGTCCTTTTTTTGACATTTATGTTCCCTTGTACCTTGTCTCTCCCCTCTTCTACTCCACTGCATGTTCCTTCATAAGAACTTTATTTTATGTTTAAAAAAAATATTTATTGTTTCTGTGTTACCATGGAGTACACGCATGCTTTTAAATCTTCAATTATGCAATTCCTTTTAATTTGCTTTTACTGTCTCCTTATTAAACTTTTAAATGATGTGACATTGCTTTCTTGAAATGATTTGTAAGTTAAAATGGTTATGAAGTAAATGTAACTATAAAAATGTATGATTTTGTTATGCACCTACTGCCTTTTATAAATTAAAATGCATTTTAGTTTTTGTTTTTGTTTTTTTTAGTAAGTAATCACAGTCGTAATGCATGCAACTGATTGAACTGTGGGCTGGGCCTGGAATATGTGCTCATTTGAGTTTTCTATGTACGTAGGTAAATAATGCCACAGCACGTGTAATGACAAATAAAAAGACTGTCAACCCTTATACAAATGGTAAGTAGAGATTGGCCTTTTACAAGAAATCGTCTCTGCCTTGAAATCTCTTAAGTGATTTAAATGGGGAATCTGTTTCAACAAGCCCATATTTGCTTCAGCATGGCTACTGTGTCTTTACTGCTGACCTGCTACAGAGAACCACCTGAATTAATGACGCATTTCACAACAAAAGCACGTTTAGTTTTCAGGGTAAGTGCACATGTCCTTTCAGTCTGTATAGAATAACTCCCATTTGGGGTGAGATACAGTGATTATTTGAGAATTACTTGGGTAATTTAATTTGTTGCCATTATAGTAAGTTGAAGAAAGATGGAAGTTTTATTTGCTTCTTTTTTTTTATCACCACCTCCACACGGATCACTAATCATTCTTGGAGGTGGGACTGCAGAACTTAGTTCTGGCTTTGAATCTTGGCTGGTGCTATTAGGCTTTTGAAGTGGCTTGGAGGGTCCCTGGTGACGAGTTTCACGGTGAGAACAGAATGCAGTGGTGCATTACATGTGTCCTTGTGGGTGGCTTCGTGCCATTTGGGGGCAGATGAGAATGTTGCTGTGTATTGCAGACCCCTTTGGGACAACGCATTTCTGCCCTTTTCAAGTAGGAGACGTCTCAAAATGCTTCATAACAAGGATTTCCATAGAAGTGAAGAGTTATTTAAAATGTCCAAACATTTTGATTCTTTGATCTTTCTCATAATAAATGTCTCGAGATATTTGGGGAGAAAGGCTGCTGATATGCTAATCACACACTTAAATGTACCAAAATTAGAAAGAATGTAACATAGTAAGTTAAAGTTGGAGCTTAGTGGCATATTATACCCATTAAAATGAACAGGAAGAAGACTATGAAGGGCCTCATAATGAATGAAACAATTAAAAGTAAAAAAAATACATGTATAGCACGATTTTAACTAAATTAAGGCAGATGTTGGCTTTTATATATTAATATGGAATTCTTTCAGTGTTAATACACACAGACTAAATTCATTCTTTTTAGTGGGAACATAATATTCCATAAAATGAATATATGGCTTTATACCAACCATCCATACTAACTGATGACTTTTTTTCTGTTACCAAAAATAGTATTAACATTTGGTAGTTTTATTTTTGTTTTTTCTTCTTTCCTGTGCCAATAGCTACCAGTTTTTCCCTAAGTCAGTTTGTTCTTATTATTAAAAGGGGCACCATTACACAGAAATATACCCTCACTATAAAAAGGGGCTCTAAGGTGAAAGGCCAGAAGAATTATTTATTCTTCTGACCCATTTTCCCAGCTCCAACAACCCCAGCCCCATCCTTAAATGGTATAGAAAATTTCCACAACAGACTTTGAATGCCCAGTGCAGAAATGACGCAAACCTCAGATTTATGTGTCAGGAAGTCCTTCTTGGGTAAACATGATAGTTCTGCAAATTGCCAGAGTTAGTACGCCATGACAACAACCTGACTATTGGCCATTTTCTTTAATTATGAAGTAGCAGTTGTGTGTGTGTTACATGCACACATGTTTTCATGCATCTGTATAGGTATTGATGTGTGCTGCTTATGTGAGAACACGAAGGAAGGGAAGCCAACTATTATTTCTTAAGCCATAGGTATGCATATTTATTTTAAAGAAAGGGTTATTGATCAATGTCTTACCCAGGGACTGAAAACTGGACCTGTGGGACTTGGAGACACAATTCAAAGCTTATTCATTAATAGCCAACATTTCTAGAACATTGACTGCATGACATTATGTCAAGCACTTTAGAAGCATGAAGTTCTATAAAGAAGACGTAGTTATTCCTATTGTAAAGGTATAAAATTTGAGTCCAGATGACATGAAGTCATTAGTGAAGTCTTGCTTTTATTATGAAATAACAAAATCTTGTGGCCATGCCTGTGTTTCATGAGTGCCTCACTCCCCCCATCATCTTACAAAACTGCATTCAAGCAACTGGCTACGATAACAAAATGATTATTCAATGTGCAGCCCCAAATTCCCTGCCACATGTTGGCATAAACATCCCACATCCAAGTCCAGGGAACCATGCCTTCTCAGTTTCCAGAAATAAGGAAGTCATGTGGGGCTGTCATCTATGTATCTGAAAGGAGGGCAACTCATAGGCTTATTCTGGACTAAGTTGGGTACCTAAGGAGTGGATGGATAGTCACACAGTAGAAATGACTTAAAACCCCAATGCAAATTCTAACTGCATAAACACGGTTGGCTTCTATAGAGGGCATCATGGAGAATTTTTGGTACTCAAGGAAAGGAGTTCTCAATTTTTTCTTGATTCTTAAGTATCATCACTACAAATACATTTTCCCATAAATTGCAGTCCGACATAACTGAAAAGATATGGAGCCCTCTCTGAGCCTTAACAAGAGTCACTATGATAAGGGAGGATATTATTACAAGAAGGGAAAGAAGGAAGGAAGGAAGGAAGGAAAGAAGGAGCGAGCAAGTGGTAACTATGGGAGATAATGGATATGTTAACTAGCGTGATTGTGGCAAAATTTTATAATGTATATGCATATCAAATCAACAAATTGTGCACCTTCAATATAGATAAATGTAGTTGCCAATTATCCCTCAGTGAAGCTGGGGCGGGGAGGGGGGAAGAGAAGTGAGGACCAATGAAGTGGCATTGAAATAAAACAAGTAACTCATGAAATTCATTCATTAGCTACCTCATTCATTCTCACAAATCATCAAACTTAGCTTCAACAAAATCACGCATTCCTGGAGTCATCAAATTTTGAGGTCATCTTCGAATGCTAAAATACCACTATCAATGCCAGCATCACATCCATGTATTCCTTCAGTCAAGTTTCCAGCAAAACTTTAAGCAGCTGCAAAGTTTCCAACGATGAATAACACCGGACTCTGAACACAGTGAGACACACAGCTAGAGGACCACGATTCATAATATCGTGGATGATGCAGATTTCATTTTTCCAAGACATTTGAACTTGGACGTAAGAAAAAGCTGTAGAATAACATGTAGGGATCTGGAAACCCTCCCCATCAGAAAGCCCCACAAAAGGGGAATTGGGCGATTTCTCTATTGCTGATTTTTCCTGAAGACACCAACTCTCAGAGAGGAGTTAGGCTTTACTGTGCTTGCTGGAGATCAAATGTTTCCTCTGCAAAACAAGATGAGAACCAGAATGTCAGGGATTTCCTGGATGTTGGAGAAGCATGGGTATTGAATGTAGCTCTTCTATTTTCTTAGAGATCTTAGGAAGGATGAAAACCGGACAAAAAGATCCAAAACTGTAAGAGAGGTAGATTTTGTATCAGCTATGCCTTTCAGTGGCTACTGAACAGCAGGCAGGCTGTTGAAACTCTCCGCCTACCACCTCTCTCAAGTGGAATCTGTGGATATCATGGGACCTACTACACAGGGTATTTGTGATTATTATGGCAGATAA